TTGCTTCGGCATTTGAAATTTCATGCCTAGGAAGTACGACAACTTTCTCAGATCCGACATTTCAAATTCTTTTTTCATCAGCTCTTTGAATTTCGGCAAGTTCTCCAAGCTACTTCCAGTTACTAACAAGTCATCGACATATAAGCATATGATTGTTATATCTTGTGCCACAACCTGAACATAGACACCATACTCAGATTTTCATTTGACGAATCCCAATTTGACCAAGTATGAGTTGATTTTCTTGTTTCATGCCCCAGGTGCCTGATTGAGGCCATAAAGCACTTTATGTAACTTGTATACTTTCCTTACTTCCTCCTGAATCACAAACCCAGGAGGTTGTGTGACTTACGCCTATTCATCTAAAGGTCGATTCAAAAATGTAAATTTCACATCTAAGTGAAATGTTGACCAGCCTTGATTGCATGTCAAGGCTACCACTAGTCGAACGGTTCCCAATCTTGCAATAGGTGCAAATACTTTAGAGTAGTCGAGTCCTGCCTCTGAAGAAATCTCTGAGCTACCAATCTCGCCTTATGTCTTGTTATTGAACCATCAACGTTGTGCTTCAACTTGAACACCCACTTCATTTCAATAGCTTTTGTATGTGCTGGAAATTTGACAAACTCTCATGTGTTGTTTCTTTCGATTTCTTGTAACTCTTCGACCATAGGTTTTGGGTGAATATGTGTTGACAATTCACTTGAATTATATCTAATATCTCAATATTTTTTACTAAATTATGTTTGTTTACTATTGGTGTACTCGAATTATAATAAATCCAGAGTGAGAGAATAATAAATTGAAAGTATTAATTAGAGGGTATAATTGAAAGATAAACATTAGAATTGCATTGAAAACTAAAATGCAACACTTATTTTGCGACAAATAATTTCATAAGATATGACAATTACTTTGGGAGAGAAGGAGTACTTAATTAAACATTTTAAAATTGATCCTATTAAACCAACTCAGGCAGTAGCTTTGAAAAGACATCAGATATAGGGACCTGTGACATCTCACATAGTTCACTTATAAAAGATAAACATTTCAAATTTGAGTATCTCATTTCTCACCCGTAATTTTATCCCAAGTTTAAAATTATCCACGAAGTTAAATTAGGAGAAGTAATGAAAAAGTTAAAATGCAAAAACCAATTTTGTGTTGACAATGTAGAAAGTGAGTAGTGTGGGTAATAATCCCACATTGGTTGGAAATGTGGAGACTTGAATATTTATAAGTGAGAGAACCTATCCACCTATCACCTTAAGGTTTTAGGTGAATATGTGATGTGTCTCTCACAAAGGTGTTGCTCTATAAAATAAGTCTCACGATGTTCAATGCTCCTTCGTGAAAAACTCCTCCAACATCTCATATCATGAACGCAATAGTCCCATATTGGTTCACCTTAAAATTTTGGACGAACATTTATAAATAGTGAAAAACTCCTCCAACATCTCATATCATGAACGCAATAGTCCCATATTGGTTCACCTTAAAATTTTGGACGAACATTTATAAATAGACTAACTACTTTCTGCATATGTCACCTCCATTTTTCTAGAATGGTCATAACTGACTTTACAACTTATCAACGTTTTTGGCTTTCTATTCTGCAGGTCTATTCACATATGCTAGCTTACTTGCTTCTCCTTCTTTTTTTTTGAACTAAAATGTTTAAATCCGACTATGTATAGCAATTATTCGTTACTCTATAAAATTTGTTTTTCTTGCTATTACTACCTGCTATAAAATTATGATATATTGACCTTTAATTGATTGCTTGAAAATTGCAACTTTCCATCAAAAGATAAATATGGGATTTATATTTATTTTATTATAAGAGTATTGAATCTATTGATATGTATCATTAGATAAAATAAGTTTTATTCAAATATTTTTGTTCAATTTTTTAATTTTTATATTATAAATATTCAATAAATTAATATAATATGAAATTGGATTTTGATGGTTATTAAAATAATTAATACCTTTAAATATTTGTGTATTTTTCAAATATTTGTATAGTTAATTAGGAAAATTATATTTATTTAAAACTTTAATAAATTTTGCTTTTTTCCTAATATAGAAATTATATGAAAGGTATATCATATAGAAAGATATATCATTAGAAAGCAAAAATTAAAATGTTTTTTTAGAACTTATTGACTTGAAAATTTTACCTCATACTCCATCATTTATTCCTCTACCTCTACATTATATTTCTTTTTACCAAAATATCTTTATATAAATATGTGTAAAATTTTCCTGGTTTAATTATTTAATCTAAAATTTAATAAATAAATTTATCTTTAAAAGCTACTTTATAAATATTCTCAGCAAACATGGCAAGTATTATCTATCTATACTATTATATAATTTTATAATGTCTCCATCAAAAATTTTCCGCAAAGTTTTTTTTCTTTTAATTCATTAATCAAACATAAATATAATTTTGTGAAAAAAGTGTATAATTTGATGAGATATAAATTTGATTAGTGAGAAGATGACTTTGTAGGAAAATAGAATAAAGTAATGAAATTAGTGGGGGCTATAAAATACTTTAACCATTTTATGAATTATATTTATTAATTTATTTTTGTATTAAGTAATTTTAAGGTTTGCATTATGTCTTTTTTTTTTAATTTAATATTACTATGTTTCCTATTAACGCGGAATTAGAGAGACATTATGGGTAGAGATAGGTTAATTGTTTGCATGGTATAAATAGAGAGTGTTGAGTGGAGAGAAATTTGAGAAATAAACATGTTAAATATTTTCATTTAATTATTATTTAATTAATAATAATAATATTTAATGATTAATAATAAAAGATTAATTAATAGAATGAAGAGAAAAGTTATGTAGGATAGTTACTATGTTAACACATTATTGGTGGGTGGCTGCATTTTTAAAAAATTCCAGGATGTGTTTTATTATATTTGTTAATTAATAATTATTTAAAATATAAAAATGTGACTTAGTCAAATATTTTGAATGGAGTTAATAATAAATATATTTATATTTAATTAATTAATTAAAGGAAAAAGTGTTAGCGGAAATTTTTTGACGGAGACATTATGAGATTATATAATAGTATAAATAAATAATACTTGTCATGTTTGCTAAGAATATTAATAATGTAATTTTTAAAGATAGATTTATTTATTAAATTTCGGATCAAATAATTAAATCAGAAAAATTTTACACTTATTTATATGGGAATATTTTGGTAAAAAAAATATAAAACGTAGGGGTAAGAGAATAAATGATGGGGGGTATGAGATAAAATTCCCTATTGAATCTTGATTTGTGAGATTATATTGTTGATGGTCCATTTATGGACCATAGAAGAAAAAGAAAAAAATTCAAAATTTTAAATAGATTTACAGAACTTAACCACGTGGCACGGCACACTATTGTGTACGAGCAATCATAATTAAAATTAGGAAAATGCCATACAACTTGCTCATTCAAATTAATAACAGGACCTTTTATTAGGCCGAGAGACAGTGCTGATTATGGATAGATAGCTCTAACAACTAGGGGGGATGTTTTCCTGGTTAATTTTTAAATCAAAGCAAATTTATGATAGGTTTTCTTAAGCAAGTTGAGGGTAGGGAAAGTTGTAAGCACTTGGATTTTGAGCAAGTCATAATTCAAATCATCAAGGTCCAACAAAGACCGGCTAAGTAATTTTTTTCACACTATGGGAAGAAACCATAGGAAAAGGGAAAAGACATAAGAAAAGTTCTCTCAAATCATATATATCCTTACGTAATTCATCTGGAAAGACATAGATAGCATTTTGTAATTATTAGTAGAAAAGAGAAAAGCCATAAGAAAAGTTTTCTCAAATCAAATAGATCCTTAAGTTGTGCTTCAATCAGTGTTATCCATTGCAGATAGCGGTTTGTTAAAATTTCACTATGCAATAGCACCACTAAAATGACTATTTGACAACATTTTATTAGTGTACCCAAGACAATAAAGGTTTGCACCAATTCCACTACACTATACCGGCTTTTTAATAACATTGACTTAAATGAAGGAAAGACATTTTTATCCACTTTATGCAAAGGGGTAGGTTATTTAATAACATTGACTTAAATGAAGGAAAGACATTTTTATCCACTTTATGCAAAGGGATAGGTTGACCGTTGATGTTGAGGACATTGGGGGTATTTGCCCCCACTGAGATTTCCATAAATTGAATATTATACATCATATAGGTGTTGCTGCCACAACTTAAATTTTTTGGACTCTGGCGCACATACATGGACAGAAAGGTCACAACGGAAGAGTATTGGGCAAACAGTCCTAAAATCAAGCATTCAAGCTCAATCCATACATACAGACTTGATTTTTCTCCCCGCCCACCTCAATACCATCTCACTACAATCTTGTTTTATTACTTCCTACAACTCAGGCAGGGACATTCTCGCAGTTTTCAACTTAGACAGCATCCTAGGGCACATTAATAAAATAAAATAAAAACTTTGAAAATTAAGACAAACTTTTTATCTCCAAAATGATCATTTTATTCCACCGGTAATAAGCATTGGAAATTCACAGATGCATTAATAGATTGAGAAAGGCAGATAAAGAGATTAAGTGTTGGCACATGGGAATGGATCCTTTAATGATAGTTTTCACATGATACATTTCACACAACATTGTCATGTGAAGACTCATCACAGACATTTACAAATTTGTGAAATTCTCCCGTGAGAGAATCTGTTCCTGCAAGTTCGTGTTCAAAAGGAATGATCCAATCAAGTTCCTATACTAAATTTGGGTCTGGTTCTACAAGGGTATCTTTATTTTGAACCATAGGATTTTTTAAAAGGTAACAGCTAAAAAGAATGAAAGCTTTGACCCAAGGTGGAAAGGCGTGCTCTTTTGGAAGCCAATCTCAACCACTACAACAAGCATACTTGCTAAACATATCTTGTAAGAAAAGCATCTAGAATGATCACTAACCAATGGCATAGACTTCATCATTCGACCGGAGAAAGGAATGATTGGATGCCAAAAACAATGAAAAGAATTCCACCCGAGAGTCCAACCTGCCATATAGAGTACAACATTTAGATGACATGCACGCTTAGCTTAATAGTTTACCGGTAAATAATACTAAATCAGAATTGCACACTAAAATCCAGAAAGTTTTGCGTCAAGTTTTACTTCACTTCTTTTTCATTTAATTCAAAATTACTTGAACTTGATGCATGAGGACATTTTGAGAAAAACGAACTATTGAATTTTATAAAAAAGGTAAAAAGGAAAAATTTTAAAAAGGAGAGAAAACACGGACAACATGAGATGTGATGTAATCATAAGGAAATAAAAATTATTACCACTTTTTCAGATATCTGAGAAGCTAAACTCTTCCCTCCAATAACAGCAGCAGTAGTACACAGTGCTTGCCCCCTGTAAAAAAAAAAACTAATAATTACAGTCCCTCTCCTAAGAAATTTGTAGGACCTTAGACATGTGACACATCTTACATATTCATGCTGACAAACAAACACTACGCATTTGCAAGGTACACAAACATGTATGCAGAATTCTAGTAAACAAAATTAATGAAGGAAATCGGTTGATTCTAGAATGCAGACAAAAGAATAGTCAAAACTTACAGAATCCCTCCAAGAACCACACCAAATGGGTTTTCGTCTGCAGCTAAACCTATGGTAGCCAACTGAACAAAAATAATTATGCTTAATAAAGTGACGGCTGATGAAACATTGGCTCTAATAATGGCTTATACGAGAAAGAAAGAAAAAACTGTTTTTCTAACTATGCTAACCTGGCTCTTGTCACCCCATTCACCAAAAAAAGTGATAGAAAATGCCTGAAGTATGGATATGAAAAGGAATCAGATTTGACATAATTCAGTATTCAATTAAATTTTCTATGGAGATACTATTAACTTATTACCTGTAACAAGATGGGAGAGAAAAACTGTGATAAAAATGACCGTGTATGCTTTTTTGTGGCATCATCATCCTGGAAATTAAAACAAATAATGTGTATTGTATACAGACTTAGAAAATGAACACATGGCATATGGAAACTCTGCTTTAAACATTTTATTCAAATATTTATTCAAAATAAGTACAGAATTCTTATTCAAGCTCGTGAATCATAAGTCATGCAAATGAAGGTTTTGATATTAAAGATTTCTCTACAAGATTTTAGGTGCCTTATTCAAATTCCAAGTATGAACAAGTTTACAGCAATTTATTTGTAGCGTAGGTATTAAGAACCTCAATCTTTGTCCTGTTGTAGTAGTTCTAAGAACTTTTCAAGAATCCCTTAACACTTTTTTAATCAATATCATGCAAAGTAAACAAAATATTTTCTGTTGAAATGTTTAAACAGTGCATTTTATGACCATGCATGGTCTTATGGGACTAACATAAACTTTCAATACATGCTCAAATCAAAAGAGTAGGACATGGAGGCACACAGAAAGAATATCATGCAAAACAAATTCAAATAGACAGATATTATTTACCTTTCTGCTATCTTTTGTAGCTCCATTTTTAGCTTTCCAATCTTTGTCCTAATAATCACAATACTAAGGTGTTGTCAAGAAGATAAAAAATGACTAAACATAAGAAATCAAATAAAGGGGAAAAACCAACCAATTGAGCTTCGACTTCAGCCAATTCCTCTGATTCCCTGTCCATCAAACGAATTCATTACGATTAAGAACAAAAAACACTACTTGGATGATAACTGATGTTCATTAGAAATGTATAATCAAGTTGATCTGAGGGATAATAAATCCTTACCCTCCTTCAAATATAGCCTCTTTCAAGGACCAAAGTCCAAATCCCAAGAACAAGAATGTTGTAATATGATGAGTCCAATTACGAGAGATCTGCATATAGCATGAAAATCACTACGGGAGAACATCAAAGAAAAAAGTAAAAAAGATAATGCAGCCAAACAAGAGTTAGATAACACCTATCATATGCATCTAAGTTGAATATCTTATCTCAATATATACAAAATCATTTTCAGTACCATGATAATATAGCACCTTTTAAGGATCTAGTAATAAACATACAAGAATGATAATTCAGAAGTTAAACCAGTAATAAAGAATGCTCACCAGATTTGGAGCAGCCCAACCAACAAGTACAGAGAGAATTGTCATCACCTATGATCGGAAATTATACATCAAACTATGAGAATCAGATGGAAAAAGAACAGAATCAAATACTGTAATAAACAAAAAAATCAAAAAAATCAGTACTTTAAAGAAAAGGAGAAAGAAGTTCTTACTATCAAAGCCGCAAGGCAACCTGTTAAAACAAGGCGTCGTGGATGTCGCATAGCCAGTATCTTCAAAAAAAAAACATCAATAATAAAAAAACGAACACATTTAGTTTCTTTCTATTCTCAAAACAACAAAGAAAAATAGTATTAGCCCTCCCTTCTTTTACATGAACTATATACAGCAACAACAACAACAATAACCAAGCCTTATCCCCCTAACTGAGATCTGCTACATGGATCAACTTCTGCCGTAATATTCTATTTCACTGTCATACTTCTACGCAATAAAATAATATAGACAACACATCTAATATTTCAAATTCAATTATACTTAATCAAACAACACTTCCAACACCGTTAGAGCTATGAAATTTTATTATGCAATTGAAATGATTCATAATAAAATAACTTGAATACTTATTCAGTTCATTGGTCAAATTACAACTACTACACACACTTCATAGAATTTATATTATATACAAAAAATAAAATAAAATAAAAAATAGAATCATATCTGAGGTAGTTTCAGCTGAGAAAATATAATTGAAAATATCATCATAAAATCAAGAAAAGAATATAACGGAACTGTGGAATAAACTAACCGCAGCTGCAAAGAAAGTCTTGTCACCGATCTCGGAGAGAACGGTCATGGCAAGTGACTTTGTAAAACCCTAATCGAAGTGAAAGTAAAATAAGAATGAAATTAGCGTTGACGAAGAAGCATGAAATTGAAAATTGAAGTGAAAATGAAGGGGAAATTGATGAAAAGTACCTGAACAATTGAGCTCATATTCGCAGAACGAAGGGTTCAGAGAGAGAGAGAGTGTGAGTGTGTGATTTTCTCTTCTCTCTGATTGAGTGTGAATTGTTACCAGTTTGAGTTTGATATGATTATGATTTGTGAATGGGAGAAAAATACACGGTGCGCGCGTGGTTCTTATTTTATTTTATTTTTATTTTACTGTAACGGAAAATAAAAAATGATTTGTTCGGATCAGAATTCAGAGTATAGGATTCAATTCCATTTCACGGAATCTGGATATATTAAAGCATCAAAATAAGTTTCCTTTTCTTTTTTATTTTTAACCATAACCTCGTTGTCAAATACGTACATTAATTAATTCTGCATTATTTTCCGCTAATTATTCTATTTTTAAAATAAAATAATTTCTATGTGTAAAAATGGCTCTATCACAATAATTTTTTTTCTTATTCTATCCGTTTCAGATTATGTTATATACTATTATTTTTAAACAAAAATGTTTTTTATTATTAATATAATATCAATAAATTTCGTATTTCATAAATTTTATACAAAATTAGTACATTTTTAACATTTTTATATTTGTGAAAAATTAGTAAGAAGATATTATATTAGAAATGTTTAGAGTAAAAGCTGAATATTTTTAACAATACGACGATTATTAATAACTAATTGTATAAAATACTTTTACATGATTAATACCTATATTAATTTTTTTTATCTAATTTTTATTATTTTACTTAATTTTTCAACACTAAGATTCTATTTTGGTATAAATAAAGAGCTAGTAATTATAGTTAATTTATATCTAATAACAAATTGTGGATAATTGATGATGGATAATAGATAAGTTAATTGAAATATTTGATAAATAACAACTCTAATACTTGATAAATACAAAATGAAATAAAAATATATTTTTTAATTAATGATTTAGTGATTATAAAATCTTTTGTATATTATTATTAAATGAATTTTATTTAAAATTATATATAATTATAAACACATGTAAATAATTTTATATATATATATATATATATATATATATATATATATATATATATATATATATATATATATATATATATATATATATATATATATATATATATATATATATATATATATATATATATATATATATATATATATATATATATATATATATATATATATATATATATATATATATATATATATATATATATATATAAAGTAGGAGTGTGAAAAATAGATGAAAAATGTTAACGAGTATTTTAGGGATATTCTTTAAGGTTTTAAAAAAAAATGAAAATGTGTGTATTTAATTTTTGTTTAAAATAAATGATTAATTTATTTATAGAATTTTTTTTTAATGTTTAAAAAGTATCCTAAGGCTATGTTTGGATAATTTAAAAATAAACTTCATTTCATTGTTGGGTAATTTTACAACGGAGCGGAACTAATATCTCATTCCACTGTTTGGGAATTGGACGGAGCGGAACTAATATTTCATTCCACTGTTTGGGAATTGGACGGAGCGGAACTAATATCTCATTCCACTGTTTGAGAATTGGACGGAGCGGAAAACATTATAACTTTTTTATTCCATTTTTACCCTTTGCTACAATATTGATAGATCCAACACTCTCACACTAAAATAATATATAAGTAATCATAGAAAAATATCAAGTTAACACTTGAAAGAAATTAAAACATACAGTAATAAATTAAAATGTTCATAAATGAAACATAGTTATTATAACTTGAAATTGCAAAGACCAAGTGCACAAGTTTTGATCAACATCATACTGGGTATTCATAATAATTCATAAATAAAATCAAGTTTTGCTAAAATTAAATGATAAATATATGTTTATAGTAGATAATGATATCAAGTCTTGCTAATAAAAAAGACAAATATTGATCCATAATAGATAATGACTCTCTTCTTTAAGCATTTCACAAAATCTGCAAAAATAAAATAAATTACGCAAATATTTAATTCGTTAAATATAAAAAAAAAAACTCAAAAGTGATAAATCACGTTGATTGAAATAAGGAATAGGAACGGTTAATAATAAAAGTAAAAATTTATAGGATAAAATTGTAATTATTTTATTAATTGATTCCATTCCATTGGATACACCCCAATTCGGGGAATTAAAAATGGGTCAAAATAGTGGTATTGGATGGAATGTGTTCCATCATACTCCATTCCATTCAATTCAATTTTTGTAAATCTAAACAATGGAACATAACTCCACTTCTTCAATTCTTTTGGTATTTAGATCCTTAGAGTGTTCTATTGCTACCACAATGTAATCAAACTGAGAAGTAAGGGGTCTCAATACCTTATCAATGATTACTTGTTTAGAAAGGGTTTCTCCACAAGCTTTCATCTTATTAGTAATCCGAATCACTATGGAGATGTACATAGATACCTTATTGTTGTCCTTCATGTTGAGATTTTCATACTGCTTTCTTAGAGAATGAAGTTTCACCTTCTTCACTGATGTGTCACCACCATAACACCTAACTAGTGTTCTAGGCAGCCTTCGCCGTCGTCGAATCAGCGATTTTCTCAAACACGTTCACATCCACACACTAATGAATGTAGAACAACGCCTTCTGATCATTCTTCCTCATATGATGTTGAGCATTTCTCTGCGTATCAGTTGCATATTCTAGAAGTGCAACTGAAACGTAACCATTGCTGATGAGATCAAGAACATCTTGAGCGCCAAACAACACACGCATCTGAATCATCCAATGATTTTGGTTCTTGCCATTGAACACTGGAAGCTTGGTGCTCAGACTACCGTTTCTATTCATATTCAAGCCTGTGCAAGTCACTCAGATCTCATCAAACACAGTGTTTCCCAATCTCGTAGAATCAGAAAATGTGATTCTGTTACAATTCCATTCAAGATTTAACACAAATTCAAGAACCGTTTCACTCGCATTTCCCGTGTTTTCCTGTGGATCCGAACCGGAGCTCTAGATACCAATTATTAGTGCACAAGATGATGAGAACAAAAGGAATGAGATAATATTTATTGCTCTGCAATGACGGCTACAAAAGTTGTATGATGAAAATAAATTACAGCTATCACTAGTCTATTTATACACAAACATTAGGGCCACATAGGCAACATACTAAAATACTAAATTACCCTTCAATACATACCACTCAAAATAATTGTATCTATAATTAACAAATTCAATATGTTAAAAAAGGGTAACTATGCACACATTTGACAACTTAAGGACTAAGTTCTTACAAAAAAATTAAAGGACCAACTTGTTGCACAAAAATAACTTAAAGTACATCTAGAGTAATTTTTCTAAATAAATATTATGATTATAAGTAACACGTCCATTTTGTAACCAAAAAAGGAAAACTGCTAGTGCTGGAATTCGAAGCATATATGCCTTGACAAATCACTACAATTACTAATATGGACCGTAGTGAAAGGTCTTACTAATAATAAAAAAAAAATTTTTGCAAACGTCAAAGTAAGAGTTCTTACTACGGTTGGCTTAATGACCGAGATAGTAGCATGTTACGTTAGGTGCTTTTTCTAGTAGAGCTAACTTTTGAAATATAGGGGGTGAACAAATTCCCCTGAAAGGAAGGGAGCGGTTGATGCCACTACGAATGACTCAAACCCTAGGTTCTAGAGGCCTCTATAAATGCATCTCCTCTTAAGGAGAGAAAGATAGGTCCTAATCAACGAAGCCTAATTCATACACATTCTCTACGCTTTAAAGAGCATTACACTTATTACAGTCTTAACACACGTCTGCCTATAATCATACGCTTGCTATCAAGCATCAATAGTCATGATCAGAGTCTCTCACCTCGCGTGAGTAGGTCTCCTAAACTACCTTAAAACAACAACGTACATGGCTTATCGTCGCGGGCAAGCCCTAACCACCATATCATAAACCTACTGAGGTCTTTAAGTTGTTGGGAGAACATGTACACATGTACTTTTTGACCAGTACAATACATATCCTTATTAAATAATCTCTCTTTGGATTGAATGTGATTCCAACTCACTATTTTTTCGAACCCTTTAATGATGCCTTAACTCTTAAGGAATAGATGGCAAAACTATATTTATAGAACTCTAAATATGAATATCTCAATTACTCATGTATATAGGAGAAGATAACATGAAGATACTAAAAAAAGCCTATAACTACATCAAACATTAAGATGCAATGGTAGGATTAGGGGAGGAGATACAAGAATTTAAAAAATTGGTATTATTAAAGAAATACGTCATTATTAATATTATTTTAATAAAATATTTTTAATATAATTAATATAATTATAAACTTTTAAAATATGACATGAAATAAAATTTGACAATTTTAAAAAATTGGTGATGAAACATATTATTATTAATAATAAATTAATATCATTAACATAATTATAAACTTTAAAAAAATGATATGGAATTAAATTTGATAAATGTGGCATGACATGTCATTAAATCCAATGTCATGTCATTAAAAAATTATTTCAAATTAAAAGGGAAACCAAAATCTAGAAGAAATAAAAAAAAAAAGACTAAAAACCTAAATTCTAAAATGAGAGGATTAAAATCACAACAACAAAAAAAAAAGAAAAAACAAAGTTGATATTAAACCTAATAGATATCTCTTCGATTAAAAAAATAAAATCTCATAACTACTAAGTCTCATCTATTAGATTTCAAAAAAAGAACTTCATCTAATTTTAAAATATTTTGTTAGTGAATATCATATCATTAATTATGATGCATCATCATAAAAAATGATGTGAAATTGAAAAAATTTCGATGTTAAAAATAATAAATTAAAAATCAATTTTAAAAATTTAAAGAATACAAATTAAAATAAAAAAAAAACACTTAAACCTTGATTCTATATTTCCATCTATTTCGTAATGAATATTAAAATATTTTTAATATAAGGAGAAGAATCATTATGCAAGCAAATTAGTCCATTTAAAATTTTATTTACACACCTAATTTTGGTTGAATGGTTTGCACCTA